CTATTTTGTCTCAAAAAAATGTCTCTTCTAAAAAAAACGCTTCATCGCAGGTTAAAAAGAAACCTATCCTGGATCTTTAGATGGAAAAGTGTTGACATCACCCATCATGCACGTGTGCGCTATACTAACTACTGCCTAAAGATTGCAAAAAGTTGCGGAAAAAACGCCAACAAAACGCCACGAAGTCGCTTGAAAACCGCCGAAATATTGTCTGTGTAAACTGGCCTACACTGTCTTGGTTCGCACAGTACTGTCGAACAACAAGAGTTTTTAGAATTACCTAGGTGTTTTTGCTGATGAGTCTTTCAAGTCCTAATATCAGCTATCATACTCTCTACACTGTCCTTCATACAATACCTACGGTAATGTTGAGGAGAATTTGCCTAACGGTCAAGATGTGTAATCCTAAGTAATGACTTCCGTTACTCTCACTACCTTAGTGTTTGCTTGAGCAGTAAAAATGTTAGGAGAAATTGGATGTACGTCAATATTAAAGCATGGAGGGTTATAGGTCCGGGGGCCCGTTTCTCGAAAGTCCGGTTACTTTACGGGCCGAAGTCATATTCCAAAATCAAAATAATATAAAGAATAGTAGCGTCGGTTTTAATCCCCTAACTAGGCCATTGTATTTCGTAAACTGGTTACTTTAATGCATAATTTTTAAGACTATTTAAAATACCTCAATCTTGAATGCAAATACGCCAGCTTTTGGGGTTAGTTAATTACCGAGAATTTCGAGAAACGGGCCAACGGAAGTTTGAAGTCCTTGTCGACCGAGTCCATTTCATACACTTTGGGGGTTCCACCAGTCTACACATAAGAGGAAATCCAACTGAGAAGTTATTTCATATTTTTGTATTTCTGGAACAAGGAGTAAAGTATTCTGAGTGTTGACTTGAGGTCCTTCTGAACCACATCTGTAAAAAACACAAACAAACAAACAAAAAAGCTCAGTCTTTAACAAGAAAAGTTCAAAGGGTTATCCTGGTTGTTTACCGGTCGATCCTCGGCTTGGGCAAATGGTACGCAAAATACAGGACTGGTAAATTTTGGCTCGGAATCGCGTTTACCATTTGCACAAATCAGTTGAACCATTTACTAAAAATTATTTACATTCCATTTACTGGAATTGGTATCAAAGATGGCTTTGAAGAAATGCAACACGAATTTACGCTTGGAACATTCCGTCCGGAAAGTCACGACTGCCTTTTCAGATGTTCCATTTAGATCGCCGATATTCAAAGTGACTGACTGTGTTTCAGATTGCTGTTATTCGGATTAATTGTCCTTGAGACTGTTCTCTTCCTTTCGCTTTTAACACAGATTTTTTCCTGTTGCAACTTCTGTTCCGCTCCTTACGATAAAAAGGGGACCGAATACTTTGAGGGAATGGGGGTACACACTTTTTGGGGTCACCCTCACCCCTTAATCTCGTAATAATTACAGTACAGTACAGTATACTTTTAACCGAGGATACGAAGACCAGAGCGGGGGAGGACTTAACCAAGATTTATACGAGAAGGCTACACCCGGTCCCCGAGGTCCCTTTTATATTCCATTATACCTCCCCGTAAAGGCCATTATAGTAAGCCCCCCACCCCTCCCGGATTGAACACCCGACCAAAATTATCACCCGAGAATCATCTTTTTTAAGAGATAACCTTTACCTTAAAATTTACTTGACTTAGAAGTCATTTACCTTCAGATTTCGCATGAAACTTCATTCCGCTGTCTCTCATGAGGTCAATAGCTAAAGCAACATTATGGAGCTGTTTTGAACAATGAAAACACCAGTAATGAGCGAGCTCAAACAACAGGGTCACTGTAAAGGCTTCGTATCTTTAGGCAGATGGTGACCGCAACAAGAATGTCAAAAAAGCAGTAAGTTTATACCAGCAAAAGAACAACTTTGCACGTGCAGCAAACTTTTTGGTACATTTTTTTCTTTTTCGACTACGACGTGAAATTGCCTAGTTTCACGTTTTATCGAGGAGGTAATAGGGACCTTAAGCAAAGACGACGGCGACAGCAACAAGAACGGCAAAAAAGGAATAGGTTTGATAAGCAAAACAACAACTTTGCACATGCATCACATCACGCTTTGTGTACTTTTCACTGCCGTCACCGCACAACTTTGAAGTGAAAGCGCCTAATTTCACGTTTTGTGAAGGACGGGAACAAAAGACAACGACTTTCTTTTTCTTTTCCTGTACTTTGATATACTGTCCTTTAGAATTCAACTCCAGAAAAATTTGCCAACATTTGACGAACTGCAATTATTGGAATAAACGCGATCGCTACTTCTATTAAACTATTAACTGCAGCATACCTTTTGATCTTTGTTTGCTGGTGTGATGTAATACTGGTACAATGGTACAAAGAAGCCTTCAAGAAGCCCCAGCAAAAAGATAAGGTAAACACCATCATGGAACTAAGGCAACAAAAATTAAAAAAATAAACAATTTCAATTTACTAATAATCTATTTAAAGGGCAGCAGATCCTTTTATTACTAAAGTATCCTAAAGTTCCAAAAGTGAAAACCCCCAAAGTTTATCTAGTGAGTCTCCAACATGTCATGATAAACTTTCATGATTGCTCTAAAGCAGCCACCGCCCCCTCCCCCGTATCCGGTGGATCCACTACCCCACTTCTTCAAAAATTAATCCTATACGAACATGACTATTACAGACTTTCTTTCTCTACATCTTTCAATATTGGTACATTGTATACACTGAAAGTAACAGGAAAATTTTTTTTAAAGATATGACCTTTTATTTTCATGAATTACACGTAGTTCTGATCATCCTCATCACCTTTATGTTGATTGTATGAACAATTTAAAATACCATTAGGATGATTTAGAAGTCGCTTAAAAATGGTGATGTTATATGGTGTGTCTTGTCTAGTTCCAGGAACATCTCTAAGATTTCACGTTGCTGGGTAAACAAGACACGTAGGCAGGAACAAATAGCTAAGGATTTTTATTGGAACTATTTTCCTACAAAAGTAGCCATGGTAGTAGCTGGGGCAAAATTCCCATTTCATGGCCCTTAATATCAGCCCTGTAGTTCATTAGTACCTGTGAGTCAATATTGTCAACCTCCAGGCTTAACTTGCTTAGATGCTTGTTAACAAAACTCTGCAGAGACTGCAAATCAATAAATCAATCAATTAGCTGTCAGTAATAACCCTAAAATTATACTTTTTTTGAATGTCTTACAATTTCTCACAGAATTGACGACTTGCACAACAGTGTCATTTTACTGTTACTAATATCAGCCTCTATTTCATTTTTCCTTTCATATTTATAATATTGAAAATCCCAGTGAGGTTTAAAACAATAAAAGCCCTAATTTGCACAAGAAAGGAAAACACTGAGGCACTGTTGTTCATAAAATGACATCATCATGCAAAACAGCCTACTGCAAAACATTTCATCTGTCTTGGATCTCTTTAAATAATTAACTCCCTAACTCCCTGGCATAGTTGCAGTTTTTGTGGAAATACATAAGGGGCAATGGCATCAAAAAGTAAACATCATTAACACTTGAAAAAAATATAATATAACTGCCATTATACATCAGGCTACTAAAATCCTAAAGAAAGCTCACAGATAATATATGTGCATACCACGGGGTATTCTCTAAACATAGTTATGCGCAACTGAACAAAAAATCACATGTGAGAAATAACAGTTTTCAGATTAGATAGATGGGCTTTGACTGAGGCAAATCTGTGGCAATTACTTGATGTACCTTAAGCTTATTGTAAAGTACTTTAAGGGCTGCCATAATTTCACAAAAATTAAATTGCATATACCTTTTTAACCACATTTAGCTTCTCTGGTGCATTATCAAACAGTGCATCAAAGGCATCTCTTTCTAGAAATGAAAAGAAAAAATTGAGCCCATATAAATGACTGACTAGACAAAATAGCTACAAGGAAATCAGCTACAACTATGAAAAAAGTTTAGAAAGAATTGCATTAAACATACCAGGCTTTCCTTCATCACTGAAAAAGAAAAATGAGAATTAAATTCGGTGATTTAAAGGTCATAAAAATGGTCACTGTCATTCATTAAAATTAGGGTCAAATTTCAACAAGCAACATGGCCTTGAGATAGCAACATAAGAAAGAGGAAATTTTGACAAACGACAAAAAGGTGTGTTAAAACTGCACAGCGATGAAAAATATGCAAATTCAATATACAAAAATTAATATCAACATGGACATGGCTTCCTTCGCAAGATATGAAACAAATGGTTTTGAAATTCAGACTAAGGTTATATATAAGTATAAAAAGTCCTCAAAAAACCTAGCAAGACTTTACACTTTAACACAAGACATCAACAGTTGTATCTGACATTCTAAGCAAATGGCTCTTGATGCCTAGCTACATTACTCTTCTCCTTCAGTCACTTCGGTTATCTCCTCAACAACCTTCTGAGGAAGTAGAATGCCTCCTTTTTTCTGCACAATGACTGTGTTTATTGTAACTCCACTGGGCAGTTTCTGTGGACACTCAAAATGACGTGCCAAGGAAACCAGCAGATGCAGAATGGCTACAATGTCCTTGTCATGTATTCCTGGAGAAAAGACCCATCACAATATACAGTTAAACCCCGCTTTACTGACACCCACTTAAACAGACAGATACCTCTTGGCTGTATTCACACTAGAGACAGATTATCCCTCTGAGACAGGTTATCCGTTGAATTCGTGTCAGACAAATAATACATCTTAATTTGAAAATAGAATGGTCTTAATTTTGGATGGACAATCCACCTGACTTTATCCATCTGTTTTTCCATCAATTTTGACCGATTTTGACAATGGATTATCCGTCTCAGAAGGATAATCCGTCTCCAGTGTGAAAATGGCCATCAGTTTTCTTTGTCCCTGGGGAAAGCCCTTGCATTTTTCTAAAGTCAATCCGCTTAATAGGGGACACTTTCTATGGCCCCTTAAGTGTCCATATTTGACATTGTTGAGAAAAAA